TGCCTGACATAGCCTCACAAAACTTGGTCTCTTAGCTCCAAAAATTGATCAATTAAGCTGAAACTCAGGACATTGGTACATTAAGATGCAAAGAATCCGTTTCTGCCATTTCCAGAAAAACTGCACATACACGTATGTGCCCTTTTCCAGAATGCTCCTCAATTCTAGCTGGAGCGCAATTCAGCTATGCATTCACAGCTGCAAAAATGTCGAAGGAAATCGACTAGCCCAGCGTGCATGAAGGCTATTTCAATTGTAATATTCCGTTACATTCTTACGGCTCAATCATACAACTATTTGAACTCCCCGGAATGCGTGAGGTATCACGCCGCATTAGAAGGCGTTTTCAAACACAGCCACGTTCCACGTTCCGATACCCGGATTATCTTTTTGCATAGTTCATATTATTTTGTTTTCATTTCTAACCACTTGTTTATTCTTAATCCTCGTATGAAAACCACTCATTTGCTAAATACAATTCTAGCTGGAGCGCAATTCAGCTATGCATTCACCAATGCAAAAATGTAAAAGGAAATCGACAAGCCCAGCGTGCATAAAGGCTATGTCAATTGTAATCATCCGTCACATTCTTACGGCGCAATGATACAACTATTTGAACTCTCCGGAATGCGTGAGGTATCACGCCGCATTTGAAGGCGTTTTCAAAACAGCCAAGTTCCGATACCCGGATTAACGTTTTGCATAGTTCATATTATTTTGTTTTCATTTCTAACCACTTGTTTATTCTTAATCCTCGTATAAAAACCACCTATTCGCTAAATACAATAATTGTTGTTACGAATATGTTGTGCGTGCTGATTTCAGCTCATTACATGCTTAACTCTCTGAGGGTGTTTCACGTGCGAGAGCAATTCGCCTTCAGCTGCGTCTGCAGCAATTGATGTTTCGAATATGTTGTGCGTGCTGGTTTTAGCTCATTAAATAAATACTCGACTCTCTGAAGGCGTTTATGTGCGCAAGTAGCGTGATCCGTCGGAGGATGGACGAAATAGGGATTAAGCAATTCATTCAATCTCACCTTTGTTGTTCTCCAACAGGGTGCTCTACTTTCACACATTTAACGCCTTCAGAGAGTCAAGTATGTAATGGGCTGAGATCAGCACGCACAACATATTCGTGACGACAAGTGCTGTGGATGCAGCTGAAGGCAAATTGAAAACAATCGTATAATACACGTTGAAAAACATTTTAGCTCCTTAATTATAATTGTTACCAATGGAGAGTCGTATTTTATGCAGGACCGGATTAAGGGGGTGGCCACATGGGCCGCGGCCCATATAGCGGCTAATCTCGGAGGCGGCAAATTTTGCAATTTTTTTAAATGTAGGTATAAAAAAGAATCGGATTTAGAAAAAAAATTACAAACAAAACCTCTCATTTCCTGAGAGTATAGTAATTTCTAAGTTTGTCGTCTTTCGGTGATACAAGAGACAGCACCTTTAATTGGACGTATTTCTATCAAACGGAACTATACGCATTATGACGTGAGCCCTGTTATACATGTATTCTTATGGGTCTCGGGGCTCATGTCTAAATGCACATAGTTCCATTTGATAGAAATACGTCCAATTAGTCGTCGAGTTAAGAGAGAGACCAAACACGCAATTTGGCCAAAAACGGCGCGACTGAGAGAGAAATAATGACGAGGACTTGAGATGAAAAGGAGAAGCCCTTGGCGCGGCGATCGGCATGTCACACATATTAGCGCCTACATCCTACAAGACTGCACGAATACTTCACGCATTGCATCAAACACAGTGCGGTCACTGCGGTCAGCGTGAAACGGATAGCGCCCACAAGAATGCATGAATACTTCATGCATTACGCCAAACACAGTGCGGTCAGCGTGAAACGCATAGCGCCTACAAGACTGCGTGAATACTACACGCATTGCGTCAAACGCACAGTGCGTTCAGCGGCGGTCGGCGTGAAACTCATAACGCCTACAAAACTGTCGGAATACTTCACGCAGTGCGCCAAACACGGTGCTGTCTGCGCGGCGCGGCGGCGGAAGTTAAAATCATCAAACCACATTAATGTGTGTTCTTCCATAATTTTTTCGTTCATTTCTTATGAATGGAAGGCCTTGTCCACGAAGAGATAGGTTTACGAAACTTCACGTTCGCGCAAAGTTCGGTGAATTTTTGCTAGTAGAGTTGACAGGGCTTTCCCAAAAAATGTGTCCAACACGAGTAAACGCGTCTTATGCACCCCACTCCCGCTGGCACGTTCACTTATGGTTTTTATTGATGTTTCAAAACGAATGAGAAGGGGGCGGCAAAATACAGGCGGCTCATGGGCGGCAAGTAGGTAGGTAAATCCGGCCCTGATTTTATGGTCTTTTTATGGGGGATTCTCAAAAAACTTTTCAACATAAACTAAATCATAAACTAAGTTCAAATGCAAAATAAAATATACCGCGCTACAAATTTTCAGTCTTGGCAGAATTTCAGTCAATAAATAACTTCAATATACTTTGAAGTCCACTTTAAGAAGAAAAGCGAGAGCTACAAATTTAGTATACAACACAAAGGAATTATTAAACATTATTAAACTTTACTACCTTTAACCAAGGATAAATTTCAAGAAATTTTGTTGCAAGTAGGTATAAAATATAAAATTCTTGTAAAAATATTTGCCAATAACTGTCATGATGATCATTACGGAGGCAGCCTGCATGAGGAAGTGCGAAGATTAGCTCAGGCGTTCATAAATTTAATTTTGTAATCATCTCCTGTATTGTTTGGTCCTTTTTTCCTGTTAAGTCCACTATTAAAGTTTAAGTCACAAACATTCTGGCATAAAGAGAGGGAAACATTATAAATTTAGAACACAAGTAAAAACTGAAATTTTATTTGAAAGTTTTGAACAAAAAAACCTGAGAGAAAAACAAAAAAATGTGCCTGAAAATAAGTAATTTCTCACTTTTTTCTGGGCGTGGGAACTTCGAAAAATCATGTGAGACACATACATCCTTCAGTACATTCGATCTCACATAATATTCAACAGTGTGGAAAAAATTAACTGTTAGACATATTCTACAGGTAAGCAAAGGGGTACTTACTTATGCTTGGGAGACAATGTTAGAAAATTAAAAAATTAAGAATTATAATACCATGAGGAAGTTAAAAACCTAACCAAAAGAAAAAAATATATTACATCCTACATGGATATCAATGGCGTGGCGTGCTTTGCGATATATCGATTAATATTCCATTTAAACCTATGGAAAAGTATCAATAAATAGGGTGTTCGCAGCAAACACCTTAATAATCGATTCTTCACCATCGGTTTAAATGGCAAAACAATCGATACATCGCAATTCACGCCACGCCACTGATGGATATCACACAGAATGGAATTCCAATTCGCCCCTAGATTAGCAATTAGCAATGTAAACTTACTGCTACATACAGAAAAGTACCTCTGGTATCGATTCCCAGGATCAACGGGAAGTAAAAAGCATGTTCGGTAGTCAATGACTGTGATGAAATTTTGACAAAAAATGATCATCTTAATAAGACCTTGAAGCATAACAGGGCTACAAAATTACTTATCACATGTATTAAGAAACTAAGAAAAAAAATAGCTGACAACAACCTCAAAATTGTAGATGTAGATCAAAGTAATGCTGATTCTCCTAATAGAGAATAAAGAAGTTGATACATAAGTTGATGATGAATTACTGGTAACAATATGGTAGAAATAGAAAAGGATCCCACGAAAAAATAGGGCAAGACAATAAATAACCAAATTGATATCATAAACCTACTACCACTAATACTATAGTACCTAACAACTCTAACAGCCTTAGGAATCATAAACAAGCAGCCTTCCATGTACATTCAATGGTGCATGGAGCATTTTCAATACCTTTGAGCTACAGAAATAGACAGCGAGAGATAGCTATAATCCAAGAAATAGCCAGGGCAAACGGTTATCCTGGATACAAAGGGAATAAAATTCTTAAAAAGCACGAAAACAATGCGTCTAACAAAAAACAACGAGAAAATCTTAACACCTTATATAGTAATATTTGGATCGCAATTAGCAAAAAGGAACCAGCGCTATTACAGTAGTTTTAAAATCGTGCAACTTCTTCTTTACTTTTAAAAACACTTAATATATGCATAGTAATAAAATGTATACAGTTATTTTCCTTAAGAATTCACAATCTTTTGGTAAGAAGCAAAAACCATTTGCTATTCTGGGAGATATTTTAAAAAATTATGAAGAAGCAACATTTTTACAACACTGCATTCATGCTGGTTCCCTTTCGCTAAATATGATCCATTTGTAAGTCTCAATTATTTTAGTCTGAGGAGAAGAAAGGTACCCAAATGCTCAGAAAACGTAAATTACTCCAAAGCCTTTCCTACAAACAATATTGTTCCGGAAAAAATCAATAAAAGTGTCAACAAAATTAAAAAAACAAACTCATTCAAATCATTGTCATGTATCCAACAACACAAATATTTCAGGAGTTCACCATACAGAATGCAATATATGTGATAAAAATTCGACGGTGAAACTCCCAAACCACGTACCTCGTTTGCCGTGTTCTAAATTGATCTATTTTTGCTCCTATTTTATTTTACTAGGGGGGGAGCAAATTAAAATCATTCCCTAAAGTTTTGTTCAGAATTTGCTGCGCCCAGAGAGGAAAGATCACAGAGAATTTTAAGGACTGACATCGAAAAGTTCTCCATTTAAAAAATAAAGTGTGACAGGAAGTCTACAGTGTCGCAAACCGAGGTGCATTGTTAGGGAGTTTCACTATCGAATACATTGACAAGACGTCCCGTTTTCCAGAGCATATAAAAGTGAAATCCTCAAATGTTTACATAAATATCAAAGACAAAAAGTATGTGATTAATGACAGCGACGTTTGAATTTCACACAAATGCAATGAGAAGAATTTTTTTTTTTTATCAAAGTTAGAGAAATTTGAATTGTTAAAGCAGTAAAAATAATTGTAATTTATTATACGTGTAAACTGCAATAGAGTGAGTGGTAATACCATAATGCGAAAACTTAATTATAATTAATTAATTAGACCTTTCATATGATTGCATTATGATAACAATGCAATCATTTTTCATGTGTAACAATTAATTCTTCCCACTTGGATCAAGGATGGCTCTAACCATTCTGTATGCAGTAAATATGAAATAATAAGATAATCATGACATTCATAAATGAGTAAAAATTATGAAGTAACATAGAGAGCATGGCATTTAAGGCACATAATTCTATTACTTGTCAAAAATCTAAAGTTAAAAACATTTAACAGAGATATATTATCTGAGGCAGTACAAAAGAGCCACAGAATTCTTTGATACTTTGATTGATATATTTATCTCATTTTAGAGAACAAAATATGGCATGCTCAGGGAACAAGAACATTATTGTTCATTTGCTGAAATAGGCACTATGTATTCTCAATATGTGTAAGGGTGCGGTGATCTTTACTGAGACCAGTAAAAATATCTAAAGAGAGAAGAGCACCATTACTAAAAAATGACAAATTCAAAGAAATAATAATACATTTCTCATGCACTAATAAATCAGTGTCATTCATATCATCAGTAAAAAATTTTAGTGAGAAAGAAAATGCAATTTCATGATGAAAATGCTTGCACAAATACTGTAAAAGTTTAGGTGAACGAACAAATTCAATTTAATTATAAGAACGCATTGAATATTAATTCATCCTCATGCTAGAACCAAAACGTTGGTGGCTATAATTATATTTAGCTTTAACAGTTATTTAACAAAAATGCTAAAACTTTAATCCTGCAGAGCGTCTACTTCCATTCTATTTGTTTATCCTAAAAATCTTAGTTCTCGGTAAAAAAATTAAGTCTTACTCAAACTGAGCTGATCTATAAAAATGTTTACCAATTAAAAAGGCACGAGAATGAAACCTTCATGCAACTGGTTCTAGAAAAAATAGAAGTTAACTGGAAAGGACTAACACTACTTGGGAACACAGTATTGTCTACAAAAATATTTTACAATTAGACACGAAAAAAATGACTTGAGTGTAAATGACTTAACACTCCATATGCTGAAGGAGCAAACATAGTTTGATAGATTTCTTCACTTAGAACTAAATTTAATTTTAAGATTTACAAGTTGCATGCTCACAAATTTAAACTTATGAAAAAGAACATACAAACAAAAAACAACAAACATTATTATCAAACATTTGAGATCATACATTGACAAAAATTAAATAAACTCAAGCAATTTCTGCTTCAGTGGATGGGTACAACATAGTCAAAGGTTTGAGAATGTGGCACAAAACAGGAATTGACCAGGATTTGCCGAGTAAACGGAGTCTTCTGGATGGCTGAAGGTTTCCAGCATCTGTGTAGTGCCGCGGAAAACCAAAAAGCTCTTCCATCTCTGTAGCCCACAAAGTGTCACCTTTGCCATTCATGAGTACTGGCATTGATGCTTCCTTCCCTGCAAAAATAAAATGATATCAGAAGATGCTCATTCAAAGCTCATTAAAAACAAGATAGATATTTTGAAAACTAATCTAGAAATCTTGAATTTCTTTAGTGCAGGGGAACGTACAAACCTGCCGCCTTCGATCAGACTGATTTTTTTTACAAACTTTTTTAACCAACTGGACCACATTTGGTGACAAGGAACTATTATTTCTGGCTCTTCCATAGAATCATCTATTTGCATGGGAAGACTATCAGTATATATGTTGTTTCTGAGTAGAGCCAGATATTGTAGTTCCTGATTGCAAAATGAAGTCCAATTTATTAAACCAAGCTTTTTTTTTATTCCTCTCATGCATCATGGTGAAAAAGTCCCAAAAGTCGCATTTTCAGCCACAGATTTTGCCTCGCAGTGTGTGACTCTCATCTTTGAAGAAATCTCCTTTTTTGTCGAATAAAAGTATTTTCACTAGCCATATTGCAAATAATCTGTTCAAGAGAAATTCCGAGGTAAAACTAACGAAAAAATGGTGAAATTGGAGGAAACAAAAATGAAGATGCTCAGTTAGGAGCCTCTGCAAGCAAACATTTTTTTATGTAAGTTGTATGAATGTTCATCAATGACATCCCCCAATGGCTGCAAACGATTCGGCAGGAAAAAAAAATTGGACTGATCTATCTAAATACATATTCCTCTGATTTAATCGTTGAAAGTCAGAGGTAGAAATTAATATCCCTTGAAATCTGCTCCTCCAGCAGAGTTTTTTTAGCAATCTTTTGAAGACAATTCCAATTTTCAGACCAGCATGGATGATACTGAAAAAAGTGTCTACTTCTGAGCATTACGCAAGACTTGGCTGTTTTTTACGCAATTTAAATATGCTCCTATTTCATTCTTTCTCGTCATTCATGAGCTATGGAATTGGAATATTTACCTTGCCGCAAGGAATTTGGATTGGTGGTTATGGTGCACACTTTTTTGACTACAGCTTTTCGGCTGCAATTTTTTGTCAAGACACTGTTTAACTCAGGGCAATTTTCTATATCCATAGCGCTTTCTTGAGCCTTTCTTAGACTTGGGATGTTTCCCCAGAAAAATCTGGATCTATTTTGAGCAGAAAAATATTTTGCATCCACAACAATAGGGTCACACTCAAAAAATCTGAAACAAATGAAGATCAGAATATTTGATGAACATCTTTGAATAGAGAGGTGTGGAGGGGCAAAAAAAATACATTATAAAATGAGAATGATTACCGATACTGAATTAATGAACAGAGTTAATTTATTTCAGTTTAAAAAATTTTACAAAACTTCTCAAGCAGTTCTGTTTCAATAAGTATATTGAATTTTGGACATTGTTCAATCACACATGAGTTGGTAACTCCTTGAATATGGTCAGTTGTAAAAATATAGGAGAAAATAGTTCATTTCAATTTGCATTATCATACACATCACATGCACATTAATAGTGCATTTGGTTACCATTCGGACATCTCAAAAATCAACATGGGTACCTCCAAACCCCTTGAGGAAAGTCTGCTAAAACACATTGGTTTTTTTAAAACATTGATTTTCAGAAAAACCGGACGATAATAAAAAGGACGAGAGGTCATTAATGGATTTCGCTTTTAAATACAATGATACACCCCATTGGATACTTACACCCATGGCCTTGGGAAATTTCATTTACCTTTCCTTTTAGACACAGAACAGCCAGACAAATTTAATATAGTGTAGGGAAAGCAAGTTATTCGGCAAAAAAAAACTTAGCCACTATAGAGACCGGAAAAATTTCTCAGAAATGCAATAGACGATGAAAAGAATAATTTATGCCATAAAAACCAAACATGACCTTTACCACTTTCCTGAAAAATCTAATTCTTCCTGGAAATGCACCATTGTTGTGGGGAATATTTCGAAGTTACAAAAAAGTTCAGATAAAAGAGGAGAAAAAACTATTTTCATTGAGGAAAAAAATTGGTTCTATTTTCATTGGTATGAAGTATCTAAAATTAGATGGAGGACTTAAGGTTCATCTACTAGTTGCGCACTTAGAAAATCAAATTCTTCACAGAAGGGGGTTTTCCAATGGTTTTTCAAAAGAAGTTTGAACATTTGTCAGAGTGTGTTACTCGGACTCAATGATTTGTAGTCTTACCGTGTAATCACTTTTCTGTAATCTTTTGGCATGGATGTAACATTCTCGAACAGCCAAAACAAATGACGACAATCATTGTTTGTCTTCAGGAATTGCAGTATGCGGAAGAAGTCAAAAAATAGGACTCCAGTACCAGTTGCATCTAAAAAAAAAATTCAATAAAAGCGAGATTTAAAATCCTGTAAACTTATTAAAGACAAAGAGAAAGAACAAGAGGAGCAAGAAATTAACAGAAAAAAGAGAGGATTGATGAATTGGTAAGATCTGACTTTAATCATTTAATGTGTTCCACACATTTCCAATTAGTATTATCAATACTAGTTGAGCAACATCAAAGGCTGATGACACCAGAGGCTCAGAGCAAAAGGAAATACGAAGTAAATAGATGATTTATTTTATTGATAGGCACAGTAAGAGAGCCGATAGTAACTGAACCATGAATTTAACAAAGACATGATGAATTTGAACAAATTTTACTGCAAATCGTTTTGTTTGCCCTCTAGAAGAAATCTCTGAGGATCTTGGTCAGTATTTTATGTTGAATTTCAAGGCAAATTTAGGCGTTATCAATATTTTCTCTGCAAAATTTTGAGTAGGACACAATCTGTACAATGAAAATTGGTGGAAGTAGTTCGAAACCAAGATAAAAGAGCGTTATACATTAATACGTTTTTTGATGCATAAATTCAAACTTCCCGCTCATGGAGAATCTAATAATTTACATGAGTTACATCGTGCACTAAAAATTACCATTACAGTCTCAGCGGCACAAAAATAGAACAACCTTTATCTCGCCGCTTCGGCTCAACTGTTGCACTTTGTTTACACTTAGCACAACACAGGGTAGGGAAGGAACACCGCTTGATTGAGAAGCCTGCCAGAATCGTTTTAGTGCATGATTTGATTCGAGAGGACTTGTGTTTTTCTTTTGATTCGAGAGGACTCGTGTTTTTCTTTTGATTCGAGTGGAATCGTGCTTTTCTTGTAAGCAAGAAATTCAAATTTTTCATTACTCAATGTTGAATGAAAACGTTATTATCTTGGTTTGGAAACAAGGTATGTTATTTTTGTTGTAAAAATCAGGTTCTACGTGAAATATTGAAGTGAAAACAAACATCAGAATGCTTCAAGTCGTACCTTGTCTGGGGGTCAGATTTCTGGTGGACCCCATTTTTCAGCGGGGGGGAGGGGGGCCGGCGGCGGCGGCGGCTCTTTGAAGAGGAGAAAAATGGAAGAGTATTTGAAACCAAAGAAAAGGGCAGTTGTTGAATACAGGCAAAGTGCAAAATATTTAATAAAGGTTCCTTTATTACAAAATCATGATCAGCCATAAATTTTGTCATTTGCTACTGAATTCTACTGCTCATAATTTCTTTATATGCATGCTATACACAAATAAAAAGTGCATACCATAGATTCCCTTTCTGGCATGATTGACTCCACTTAATTCATTGCAAGGTGATCCTCCAATCAGAAGATCAATTGGGCCCAGTTTTGCAAGTTCAGCATTGGTTAGGTCTTCTACTTTCCCTAGATGAATCACATCCGAGCCGTGATTCATTGTAGTCACATTGATGGCATCATCTTCGATCTCACTTGCATAGTACACCTCTACTTTTAATTTCAGCTTCTTCAAAACACACAATCCTGGAACAAAAGTACATCAAGTTCATTTTCAATAGATATAAATGCGTGTACAGGTTATTTCTAGCACTAATTTGATCCAATTTGACTCTTGATGTACCTCTTAAGGTGGTAGAATAGTGCTTAGTCCAAAATATTTTGCGGAGAAAGCAAAGCCAAAAAGTTTTCTCCGCAAAATAGTTTGGATCCAGAGGGCTGTTTATTGAAATTGATAGACGAAGCAATAGACAAAGAAGACAAAAAGGTTATGGAGGGATCCTATTGGTGGAAGCGGGTGGTTGCGATGGACAAAGGACGTAGGTAATAGACTAACTAATGGCAACCCACAAGAGACCTGTTAGTCCACCATTTACCCCCTTAGTCTATAGGAACCACCCATTTCAACCGATAGGATCGCTCTATACTCCTTAAGTCTTCTTTGTCTATAGTTTTGTCTACAGATTTCAATAATCGGCCCGCAGCACTATTTTACCACTTTGTTGTTTACAGTTAGGACCACATTTTTTAGTGTGTTTTTTTCTTGTTTGTACTGCTAAATTTACAACAGTTTGTCAAGTTTGCTTATACCAAAAAAGAGCAAAGTAAAATGCACTAAAAAGATACCTACTTGAAACAGTGAAAAAAGCATTATTTTCCTAAAGAGTTAGCTCCATGCATTAGTACAAAATAGGCTGTTTAAAATATTATTGTGAACCCAAAAATTCTTTTGGTCTCACTGGTTTAAAATATTGCGCTTTAAAAGTATTTATTCACAGATTGCATCTTCCTCTGCATTCTTGAAGTTCAATGAGAAGTAAAAATCAATTGTTACGAACCTGTCCCAATTCCATCGAATAAGGATAGAACACGTAAGGGATGTCTTTCAAATTTAGGAATTATCTCTGGTTTTGGATGCTCAATGTACATTTTGGCAACCTAAAAAAAAAATAATCTAAATTAGAAGTGAAATTAGTGCTTTGAAAAGTAAAACAAGTTGTTAGAGCCAACATATGGTGTTGGAAATGCGTACTCTAAGGTTTTATTTATCAGTACTTTGTCTTAATTCCCTACCATAAATTTTCCTACTTAATACAAGACCACTCGATGTTAATTCTCAAGCTGAAATCATTGAGAAAAGAAAGTTCCTTCATTACTTTCTACGCAACTTTGCCTATCATATAAAAAGGACATTCATGGAGCAAAACATTAAGAAAAAGGAAACCACAGGCTATTTTCAATAAAAGTAAGTTAAGCAGAGTTTCTAACTTTACTAAAAACCTATTTACTCCTGCCAAGGATTTTGAGTCAAGAAATATTTGACATCCAAAAGGAGTTGAAATTTGTTTTTTATATTTAGCTGTATGGAGGAATGGGGCATCAGACCTATTTTTCGCTTGATTGAGTTTATGTCACTTGATTCTTCTTCCCTAAATCATGTCTATCCATATGTAAGAAAGGGAAGACGAACATAAATAAGTTTTTAGAATCTATGGTTTGAATTTACAGTCGTTTCTATTGAATGATGAGAGATATCACACTTACATGAGCAGAGAAGTTTTCACGTTTCTTCAAGAACCCATTGAGTTGTTTGTCATAACCTGAGCACAAAAAGCAGAGCCATGGATTCATTTCAGCGATCCTTTCTCTAGCTTTTTTTGGACACAGAACTTCAATACAAGTGTTGCAATAAACCCTGGACAAAATAAAGCAGAAAATAGTTTGTCAGCATGGTTTTTTTTACGAAAAAAAAAAGTTAGCGCACAATCTGATCATTTGTGTCAAAATTAAAATACATTTGATAACATACAAATTTTTTATAATGATTCTGTTCCCCCAATTTTTGCTATTACTTGATGTCAAGGAGGGGGGGCAGCAACTTTAGGCAACTTCTGCAGTGAAAATAAATTTTTAATACTTTTTCCTAATTACACTTCAGCCTTAATTATTCGGTATCTATAATGTATAGGTATCTATAAATTGAAAAAAAAAAAAAGTTTAAACATACTTTTTGCAGGATGGATTGTCGCAAATAAGAACTTCTCCTCTTTGCGCACATACAACACAGTGGTACTGAAAGAAAGAAAACAAACAATATTAAATCCATGTTGAGTGAAAAAAACTGAGCTTTGAGACATTATTCAAAATGTAATGAAAAACACAGTCTGATGTGGCGATGTTAATTCTCGGGAAAGTATCTATATTTAGTATCGATTCTGATATTGACAATGAACAGTGAGTCAAGCTGAGGTATCAATACTTTTGAAGAAGTTGGAGGCCTGTCTAGGGCGTAAAGAGGGTCTACTTAGGGTCTGTCAAAAATTAGCAATAATGATATCTATATTTTCAAATTCAACCAATCTCCAAAACTATTACAATAGTTGAGAGTTTAATGAACTTGTTTGTTCTTCATCAATAAATGAATATCATTGGATAAAAGAGAAAAGAGCAAATGTCAGATTGTAACGTTGTAAGTCTTTGCTCAGGGTTCCTTTTTTTTTTAAAAAAAAAAAAAAAGTAACCGACAGTTTTGATTAAAATTTCCTGTGAATATTCTTCACTTATTATTCTAAAATAAATCAAACAAAATTGCAAGGGTATGTTTTGATTGGTTTTCTAGGAAAGAGCAAAATACTGGGAAAGAACAAAATATAAGCAGAGATTTACAAACATTGCAATCAAGAAATGCATAAAGTTACTGATATACAATACAGATAATTAGGTTATCCTCTCTAATGCTTATAGATAATTAGCACTGGGAACCAAACAATCAATAAATGAAAAAATCATATTGAATGTAACTTACATAGACATTGTCATCTCCTATTACAAAAGCCGTATCCTTGATTTCTTCCTGAACAAAAAGACACACATTAGTAAATTTTTTCATAGAGTATACCTTCATACCAGACTTTGAACGAGCGCAAAGAAATAGATTGACTGGCATCTCTGCTAAAAAATTTTTGCACAAGTCTTCTTGATGCGACTCCTCTTTCGTCAAATAAAATTTAAAACTAGGGAACTAATTACTCAAGCTCAAAGTTCAGAGAAAATTGTAAATGGCTTGTATGCATAGACTATTAAATCTCTACTACCATACAAGAAGTCCATGCGTGTTTTTAGACTTTCTATTCATGCCGTTATTGTCGCCTCTACTACTTCTCCTGCCACCATCAGAACAACATACAGATCGGAGAGTTTGTTTCTGTGCTGACAAATGGAAATGTTTTCCCATCGAACTAAATTCTTAAAGTGGGTGATTTTTTTTTATGATACATGGGTGAGAATCCATACTGTGTTCCGATTTCCATTAAAATAGTCAATTTAAATGTTGGTAGGAAAATTAGGGGGGGGGGGGGGGGTGGAGTAAAGCAGCATAGGTAGAAACAAATTAAACTGTTGCAACCTCAGTGGCTGATCATGGCTGAGGGTAGTATGCTGATAATACACATGCAATAATTTGTGAATTTTTTCCTGTGAGTTTTAGTGAAAGTTGAAATATTATTAGCTCGTTTCATTTTAAGCATTTTTGGTACTGAAGATACTGAAAAAATTAGAGTGAAATGAATAGATAAAAACTTACAAAACATTGATCGCAGACTCTTCCTTCAAAAAATGGATGCTCATGATTTAGATTGCTTTTTTCTCTTACACAGCAAAGGCATATATTTTCTAGCTTTAACTTCTTGCCCTTCACTTTTTCAATAACTGAAAAAAGAGGAAGATAATCAGAGCAAGGAAACAAAATGGATAAATTCAAAAGTTTATGATCAGCATATTCATTGTGAAACCAGCCCCAATTGGGAAACATTTATTCAATTGAAGGAATTTTTTCATTCAACAAAAAGTTAGAAATTGCTTTTTCCTAAAGAAAATGATTGTTTAATGTTTATCCTCTGCAGTCATGATATCTGTTTGACTGCACAAGCAGATAACTGCTTTAATGCAAAGAAAAGGAATAAATTTCAAACTTTAACAATACATACAAGTACTACCACGGCTTTTGTCACCTTCTACTACAGCTTACTCCTTTCCTTTGCCCTTTAAGTAAAAATAAGGGAAAACAAAAAGAAATAAAAAGAGCCATAGCGAGATGGTCAACAACCAAAAATCTGGTGGCGTACGCAGATTACATTTGATTAGAAGTGGACGATTATATTTGAGAGATACATTGAAAATTTTCCTCGCACTGACTTTAAGACATTTCAAAGTAAGACTTTCATTGCTATCTGATACATTAATATTAGGCCTTAATAAATTAGATGCAGTTGCCAACAAGCATGAGAAAATGGAATGCATGAAGTCGGCCATTTCGGATCTGGATAGGGTAGTGGTAACGTTTCCTAAATCAATATTTTATTGTATCTTTGAAATCAAAATTGAAGAAGAAGGAAGAGTTTTCTCATATTGATACTTCATTGGTTTAAAAGCCTTACTGTATTATGGGAAAAACGGATCAATTTAAAAAAAAAAAAACTGTTACTCATAATTAAGGGCTAACCTGAAGATTTAAACGCAACTTCTCTGCTTGCATCAACTTTATCTTGACTTGCCTTCAACTTTTTGTTGAACTTGCATATCTCATCATCATCATCACTTTCCTCACTCTTGCGTTTGTTTTCTGCGCGTGTAAGTTCTAAGTTGGTCAATTTAATTTTCAAAATTTTACTGTTGACAAATTCAGGGAGGTCATCATCTAGATAAAATCATGGAAATTAGAAACAATCAATATCTTTTTGTTTTTTAAGAGTTTCAGGTTGCTCAACAGCCAACTGTAACCTTAGGAGAACAAACAATGATGTGCGTCACTCAGGTACATCGTATAAAATATATTTAGAGCGTGTAGTAGTCATTGCTGCCATCATGAAAACCAAATGATGTAGGCGCACCATCGCATCGCCCGAAGGTACTTTTGTTTTATTGTACCAGAGGTTAGCAATAAGTCAAAACTAACTAAATCCACTCGCAGAAATTCGCCTTATCGGTGCTTCACTGTGCTTCAGCTGTACCGATGACTTACCACCATTAGTTTGAACCTCTTCACTCAGTGGCAGCAATTTCATTTTGGTTTATGAATATGTGAATTCATTTGATTTTGTATCTGTTTTTGATGGGGCCGACAAAAATTTTCAACTTTGGCAGGGGGACATTCCCTTCAATAAGTAGCATTGGATGTGAGAAAATTATTACATGACTGGTATTTCTGAATTAAAATATGGTACAAAAACCTCATTTTCCTGCAGCTTTCTTATTTTTAGACTTTGCTTCAAGCAGCTTGAATCTTATCACCCTTAAATTTTGCTGTATAAAGATTTGGCTGTAATATACTTCATTTCAAGATGCTTGGTCATCAGTATTTTTTTACTTAACAATTTGCAAAAATTGTACATACAAAATTACAAATACATGAATCATAAGTTCTCACCAAACGAATCGCTTGACGAAATGTGTTTGGACTTCAACATGTGCAAAGGAATACTAGATATCCAAGAAACAGCATCTGAGAAGTTCCAAAGTTCACTGTCAGTTTCTCCACTGCGTGCTGCATGAATCTGCATTGAAGAAAAAAGAACAAATAAAATTATAATAAGATGGGGAATTGGTTTTAAAATTACTCAAATTGCTGCATTTGTGAAAATATTTCAATAAGAAAGTTTGAATGCTTGGCAAATTCACTGAAAAATATGCAGGATGAGTTACGTGAGTTACCTCATAGAAGTATCTAACTGAGATGCAGTACTCTATCACTGCTATGATATTGGCTCAGGAATGAGAGACAAGAAAAGGTCTGAAATAGAAGAGAACACCAAATGTTTCCTCTTCAGAATCTTACATGGAAAACAATTCATAGGACGGGAAGTTTGGATATCAGCTCCTAGTTGAGATTTAAACAAGCGTCTTTAACACCTCAAATGGAAACTATAAATCATACAAATGACGTAATTTGTACCTTTTTAATTTAACCAAAGTTCATAGTAAACATCTGTATCTTGTTTTGTAATTGATTTCCAGACTTCTCATTATGTGATTCGTTTCCCTCGTGAGATTTCTGACACTTGATGGAAACCATTTTTCTTCATTTCCTCTTCCATCACTTGAACAAATTATTCTGAAAAATAGTAGATAAAATTTTGCACCAACCTTAATAGCTTCTAGTACACCATTTTTGAGTCTGACACCTTTGTTGTTCTTGTCAAACAATTTCACAAAACTCTCTGCGAATGGCTGGAGCCGAGAAAGAGGAACCTGAGGAAAGAGAGAAAGGTCAGATTATGAATAAGCCCTGGGAAAATTATTATTGACAAAGCAGTAACAAAAACTTAAGTTCATACACCTTGCAAAGAGCCTATGTTGATGATACAGACAAAGTTTAACAGAAATGCACAGTCCCATTGAGTTTGAACCGCGAAAAGGAAGTTTTAAGTTTTATTCCTCCATGAGACTCATTGTTAAGAACAGACTCTGACCACCATTTTCATGTTAAAAATATTGCTTCTCGACTTTGAATTTTAGACAGAAGAAAGTTTTTGACTGAACAGATCTCGGTCTGGTTTCATTGGCACTCACTAGCTTCAGCAATTCAGTTCAGATGAAGAGTTGGTAGACTTGACTGCCATGGAAAACCGCTGTATTAGCATTCGAATGTTGCCAAATTTCTTTTCAGAAAATACTTGTTTTTGAAGAAAGGTATGCATATTTTTTCCTTGAAAGTTTCAGACACTGTCGATCAAATTATGAACAACATTCTCTGCAAAACCGGAAGAGAAATAATAACAAATTTCCCCAAAAATTCGTGATTTGTCAAAGGAAAATTGGCAGAATTTGGAGGCTCAAGCGGTGTTTTTCCTTAGAATGGCAGTAGACATGACTGCCAAGAAACTGCAAAATTTTCTGCAAATCTACAGCTGAAAAATCTACAAGTATTCTGTTGTTAGTCTTCATGAGTGCATTATATCAGTTCTCCAATTCCGTTTGATCGTTTTATATTCCTCAACCAGAAGTAGGTGTTTCTAAATATATAATAGCCACTAGATATGTCATTTACGAGTGTTGGTTGGATATATCTTACCTCTGAAACACGGTAGTCCCCAAACCAGAAAACCCAAACGGATGATACTGCAGGAGGGTTTACTCCACAGTCTTCATGATTCACAACAATGCCTAAGGGGGAAAAAAAGGTAACACATAAATATTTACTAAAGATAGAAAAAAGGAAAAAGCGAAGTACCTAATGTGAAAAAATTCCTCTCCTAATCAAATTGCAAAGAGGGCAAGCCTAAAGATTGTGGATATTCAATTTTACGGATGTAGAAGTTATGCAAAGATTCTTTCCCTCATCTCTACAATCTTTAATTAGATGTATGTTAATGGTAAAACTACAAGACCATACATCTCGTTTGCAGTGTTTAAATATTTCTACTCCCATTTTATTATTTTAAAGGAGAACATATCAATATCATTCCTTGAAGTTTTCACTGAGATTTCTTTGCACAGAGAAAAAAAAATCCCGGAAGCTTTCAAGACTTGGCAATGAGTGGTTTTCCTTTGAAAAATAAAGAATGTCAGGAAGTCCGCAACATCCCAAACCGAGGTACGTGTTTTAGAAATGTCACTGTAAATAAGGCGATACTGAAGCAAAAGTGTGAGAAGAAATTACCTGGCCACCATGGTGAGGATGAGACTTTTCCCCACACTAATAAGCCAAGAGGAACATTACTTCCCCATTTCAAAGCCTTGGGATTGCTGCTAGTTGTTATTGTTCTTGCTTTTCTCCCCATTGTGGTACACTGCAAAAAGCGAATCAAAATAAGATGAATAAGCAAACAATTTTGAACGAACACCAGAAAAACTTATGAAGTAAATCGGACCATTTGCAGCCACAGAAAAATGGATCTAAATAGGAAATCAAAGTCAGCGAACATTGTCAAGCAATGTGTGTAGGTAGTAGCACTATATATATATGGGTTTGGGTTGGCACTTTTCTAGTGCTCATTTCTAGCACTCGGCTACCAACCCAAACCCATACTAAATAGGAAAGTAATTTCTTTTGCTCCGTACCTGCAGAGGGCAAATCCCTCATCATTGTAAGTGCTATTTAGTGCCTAGAGCATAGAATTTGGAAAAATGCAGATTTGGTGAGAGAGCATTTTCAGGAAGATTAACCTGCTACGGAGAATCAAACCAAGTTGATTTTTTACTTAAAAAGCAATTTAGAATTTGAGAGTTAAGTTTATAAGGGGAATAGAATGAAAGTGTTTGGACGTGTAAAATGAAAAAGAACGATATACATTTTGACATAAACCCTGTGATCCGTAGGAAAATATGCACATTAGGGCTCATGCCACAATAGATAAGAGACAGAAAACAGGTTGGACAGAAAATTTGGAAAAAAACAGGTGATAAGAGTGCATTTTTAGAAAGATTCGCCTGTTGAGAGGAATCCAATCAAGTTAACTTTTTATGCAGAGCAACCTTGAATTGAGAATTAAGTACACAAGAGGAAGAAAATACAACATGAACCTAAGATTAAGCAAGAGAATGAAAAATATTTTCTTTCAAAAAGGTCTCCGAAAACGAAGGATGAGGGGAGAGTCAAAAGGAATCAAAATTGAAGAAGTCGTTAAATTGAGGATAAATTCACCTGCAAGAATTGATAAATTAAGATGAACGCCAAAAGCGTGGAACACGGACATAAACATCCACTGAAAAGGCGAATGTGCCGGGAACAAATCCTGACTCAGCGTGACCGGGATCTGGGGGGAGGGGGTCTACAGATGGCAGCAGAGAAGCCTGAGGGACTTGGGGGAACCTCCGCCCCCCTCGCCCCTTCTGTCAACTATGCGTTCCGTACTGATAAGGGCTGCGCTCGGCTGTTGCGCCACACGCCACATGCGGCGGCGACCCCCCCCCCCCCCCCNTCCCTTCCCGGTTTCGTGTTTCGTCACGGTCGACTACAGGGCACACTAAAATTTCGGGATATTCTGAGCAGCCGATACCTAGTATGAATAAACGATTATAAAACCGTGCTAGAAAGTGAGAGCTTATCAGAAAACTAGGGGGTGCGCCTCCTGACCGCTACCCGGCCCAACCCCGCACCGAACGCTTCGCGCCCTCGAAAAGTCGTTTCTTGGGCCGTGCAACGACAAAAGGAGCAAGCTTATCTACTCTCCGGAAAAACGCCGTATGAGAGTTGTAAAGTTTTCCCGAATAAAACTTGAATTTTTAAGGGAAGTTATGCTCATTTTCCCTTGAAATTTTCAGATATTTCAGATTTCGTCTGGAAAATTTGAAGAAACACGTTGAAATTTCCCCGGTAAATTCGTTTTTTATTGAGGGAAATTTTTCAAGGCAATTGTCAGTCATTTTACATCAAATTACGAAAAAAAATTCTCTGAAAAATACTTACGGGCTTTCCCGAAAATTCGTGATTTGTCGAAGGAAATTTGGCAACGTCTGAGGGCTCATCCTTCATTTTTCCGGAACACGGAGTTCCAGAGGTCCTACCTATTGCAGTCAAGCAAGGCACTAAATTAATTTGGGCACGCTTTAACACCACAGTAAGATTTTTCTTCATTGTCCCTGGTGAATTTTTCTGGACGAGTTCTTAAACACCGTGTATCAGAGAAGTTTGAAAAATTTTGGGAGACCACAAAATTGAGTCATTAACGAAATGCACTACGAGTTGTTTTCAACGATCATCCAACCATCCGCCTGCGGGGTCTTTCCTACTCGCTTCTGACGTCGCGTCGGACCACAACCCTTACGGACTCGAGGATTGGGAGGGGGCCCAGCGACCGATAGGCGGATATAGGTCAAAGGTCGGCACGATTTCCCACGGGTGCCACCCCCTGATAACGTGGCTCCTCTGACGGAAGGGAGTATTACTACCTCCACGTGAGCCCCGGTAAGCCTAGAGTTATACGGAGCACAGAGCTCACGTGGAGATTGACATACGCCCTTACGTCAGAAGAGCGACGATATGTCGGTAGGAATCAAAGAGAAGACGACTCGTAGTTCTTGAAGGAGCAAGTGCATTGATAAGGTAAAAGGTACAGCGTTGCCTAACTTACTTGGATACAGCGTTGCCAAGCTAACTAACGATGTAGCACCCGCCAGATTGGTCCAGGGTTACAATAGGGGAGGCTGAGGGATGCCGAGGCGGACCAGACCAGAAGGTGGTTGATGGACAGCGAGGTGGAGATCAGTCCGCTAAAACCGCTTTAAGGAGTTAATTTCCACTCTTTAACTAATCTGCCGTGCTAAGGATGAGTGCTGTATAAGCCTTTGCACGTTGCCAAATTTCCTTCCAGAAAATAATTATTTTTGAAGAATGTTATGCATACTTGCAAAATGTCTCAAGACAAAAAAAAATGAAAATCAAGAAATGTTCTTGAAATGTTCAAGAATTTCAAGAATGTTCAAGAATTTTAGATCAAATTACGAACAAAATTCTCTAGAAATTGGAGGAAGAATATTTTCAAATTTTCCCAAAAATTCGTGATTCGTCAAAGAAAATTTGGCAACATTTGAAGGTTTAAACGGCGTTCTTCCTTAGCACGGCAGCATTCTGGCTCAGTTTTTGTCTGGCCATGATTTTTTTCAGCTATTTTATTGATGGGTCGGAATCCATTTTCTCTGTTATAAGACCACCAAGTTTTTGTTTTACTTTGTTCTTTCGTTTTGATCCACTATTTTTATCCAATTTTTTATTCCTCTTTCCCGTTGATCAGCACCAAGATTCTGAACTTTAGTGTGAACTTTCCATGCATTGTGGATACTATTTGTTCAAAATAAACTCCGCTGTATCTCTCCAAAAATCAGCATTTCTGTCATTTTAGCTCTGTACCCTATTAGGATCACAGAATGGTATTGTAGGATTTTCAGTGGACCAAAAATGAAGACACTACTTGCAAGTGTCAGGAGCAATTTTTCAAAGTATTAAAATTTTCGGAGGCAGAATTGATCTTACTTTTGGCAAGTTTGGGGAAAATTGCTCCAAGAAATTTTCTTCTTTACAAAGGTCTGGTTGAGTAGGTCTAAACAGTACCTTCTTTGTGGTGCGCCTATGCAGCAACACTGTTTTTCATTTTCAGCCATCTTTTTTGTCTTGTCTACGTTTGTGCGTTGGAATCTACCTCCTAGTTTGTTCACCTTAAGTCCAACAGTTGCTATCCTTCCATTATTCACATCGTATTGGTTTAATGATCCCTGGAAAGTCATTTCATTGTAACTTGATGAAAAAAAAAAAAAAAAGACGAAGCTCCTGACTTGACAACTAAAAGCAACCGTTAAGTATTAGGGATAGAAAAAGGATTCCCTAGAAATTCTTTATATACATATATATTAAAGGTATGATTCCTGATTATTTTGAAAAATTTGCATTACAGCATTGTCTAGTCTCAAAAAGGAATTCTGAGACTAAGTTTATAACTTCCTTTCCCTCTCTCTCATGGCATATTCACTCTTCCGAAATTCAAGTTTCTTTACTTTTTCAATTCCTCTAGCACTTTGTTCCTTGGATCTATTGCTACCATCAGTTATATCAGTGGCAATCTACTATTTCTATCTTTCAACTTCTCTTTTATCAATTGGATGACCGAGCTTATGCAATGTTGTTGAACAATCTCATAATCCTTTTGAGTCTCTGACCTATTTTATCAAATTATTTTGATTAAATAGATGATCCAGGAACAAAAGTATTACAGAGTGTACAATAAATCATAACAATACCCTATATTGAAATTTTGGTGTTCGAAGTAGGTAAATCCACATTGATTTAGTTGAGCAGTTTGCAACACATTACCTACTACATTCATTCTTTCAAAATATTAGGAATGTTTTCAAGAAACCTTGTGCTTGAAATCAAAAGATTTGAAATTATTCAACATGGACACTCCAGTAAATATTGCAAATCAAACGTTATAGATACCTACTGGGGCTGTATTCTCCGTTACCTCAAATCATTTCAAAATCAAATTTTTTGTCCGTATCAATACCAGAAAAATGGTGGATTGATTTGGAAGAGAGATTTTTTTAGCCGACTTCTTGAAATTTTTAAACTACTTAAATAAATGAACCGGAGGAAAAATTCTTTAAAATCATGACCAATTGACTTCAAAATTATGTATTCTATTTCACATTTTACAACCTTTCAATTATGGATTCTGATCTTGAAAAAGTAAAATAGAAAGAAATTACCTGGCAACCAGAGTGAATTGGAGATTTGCCTGCACAATAACAAACTGTCAAGAATATTTTTGTCCCATTTGACAGGTATGAGACTACTGGCGATTAAGGTCTTTGATGGTATTGACATTGTGACACACTATAAGAAAACAGCGAAGAACACAATCATAGTGAAACATTTTTTCAATTAAAACTAATGAAAATGTAAAATTTAGGTCTGAAATCTCATTCAAGTCCCTACATTATTGTTTGACAACACCTTCAATTTCGTAGACATGAAAACCCATCGCTTGAGAGAAATGACTTATGATGATGTGAACGTAACAAAGAGGTAGAACCCCGTTTTCTGCACATACAGTTTTCGGAGAGGTATACCGGTAGGTATCCGTAAATTTTTTACATTATAGTCCACCATCCCAAAAATTGAGCGCTGAATCCTGCTTCCTGAATTTTTCATCTCTTCATTTTTATTTTACAGGAGACAATTTTTCTACTCTTGGCTACCTGGTTCAATACAAATGATGAGTACCTGACTTAAAAAAAAAAAAAAAAAAAAAAAAAAAAAAAAAAAAAAAAAATTTTGTCGTGGCTCAAGTGGGATCCCAGAATTTCACCATCACCAGGCTACAAAATGAAAATAATAATCCATTTCACTATCAGTTTCATACATGCTAAAAAACATAAGATGTTACTCACCAGTGACTTCAGTGATAGGTATGTACAAAAGAAATCGTTGCTGATTGATTGATTTGATGAGCTTTGCAGCTGCGAATGGAGTTTAACAGTAGCTGCCTGCAAATTCAGACAGATTTTGTTAAAAATCTTCCATGAACAGCTGTCTAGCGATAAGTCTAGATCTGTATGCCTCATTGTACTTACACTGGGAGCGGTTCATACAATAAAAATCTTCCATGAACAGCTGTCTAGCGATAAGTCTAGATCTGTATGCCTCATTGTACTTACACTGGGAGCGGTTCATACAATAGAACGTTCACTGTGCAAATCTCACTATGGCTGCCACTGTGCAGCTTCTGAAAATAAATTAATTTTACGTAAGTGCAGTTACATCATCTTGAATTCTGCTTGCTTTTACCGATACTTCCTTCATCCATGAATCATCAAAGATCCCCAGAGATAAGTAGCTTTGACTCATTGGGAGGCATACAGTGCAGCAGCTGGATCTTGAGAATGGCACATTTCCAATCGGCTGAATCGGCTGCCCAGTGATGGCCATTAAATGGCAATGACAATGAAAAAAAAATTTATCTGCAAGATCTTTAAAATACTACGATTTAATAAGAAAAATTGATCTGTGTGTATTGCGCAAGCATCTTGCTTGAAACTAGAAAAAAATAGACAAACTGACAGAACTAACCTCAAATTAGCCAGATGGCCATACTTGAAGAGTAAATTTCAGAAAACGGAAGGATAAAAAGGAAAAAGGGTAAAATAACGGACTCAAGAGTGATTCTAATACTTCATTAATGCGTGAAAACTAATTTTAAACACATAAATTAAGGGCAAATCGTTCAGAAACCTCACCTTTTCACACAAAAGACTGAAAAAGTGCAACAGCAACAATAACATAAACACATGGTATCACGTGGACAGAGTAGAGGACAGAGCGCCAGTAGAGAGATGCCTAAAATACTGTAGTGTTTGTGAAGTAGTGTCATCATTAATTGAAGGCGACTTTACGTGGTTCGCCCGTCAAGCTTTTTCTTCTCAATTCAATCCAAGATGTGGTGCAAGAGCAAAAGGTGCTAATGTGTGATATGAGTGAAGAACAAGAAACGACGAAAAAATGTTTTCATCCTTCCCTAATATGTTTTTTTTTTTTTTTTTCATATATTGTATTAAAACAACTGGAACATATTTAATCACGGAAGATAGTCTTATTTTGTTCCGGCATCGGCTGTTAAGGTCTTTTTTTCAAGTTTTATAGAATAAATCCTATGTTTTATGCTTTCCATTAGTTTGTGATTGCACTCATAACTTTTCAATCACATAATTTAATGAGTTTAACTGTAGGGTCGGACTGGCTCGCATCTGATGGGCGTAGACCCTTGGCTGGTTAAAGGGGCGTAATGTGATATTTCCTGATGGGGCAGGGACATCCCCTTCGTGGAGAGGGGTTCAGAAAATTTTGGCAAAGCAGCAAAAGTTTATGCTATTCTCAGGTTCAAAGTTTATTAATCGCACAGAGTAAAAATTGTAAAATTGAACGTATTGAAGTGACCGACAGACTTCTGAAATTTAGTAAAAAAAAAAAAAAAAATAAAGCCACTAGACGCATCCAAGCACCATTATTTCCATAAGAACCATGTCAGTGCTGCGGTTTACACAAGCTTAAGACGTGGGTCTAAAAATCCATCCTAAAAAAGAATCAGGCAAGAACCTGAGAGAAGAAGAAAGAACGAGTATCAACACAGCCGACGACAAAAAAGACGTAATCGGGCCTCTTTTTTAACGTTTCTCCCGAATCTGAGCGACGACACCTCATTGGCAGCATATAGCAGAGCATTGAGAACTCACGCTTCGTGTCATCGCGCCTTCAATTTTTCAGATGCACCACGGACGTCCATCAAGTACGAATAGTTGTATCTCTGCGCCGTCGTTAACGCGCATCCTTTCCCTCCCTTTATTTCTATCTTGTGTTTGTTTGCGTTCGTCTTATTCGTAATGGTGCTTCAAGCATTACGTGATTACACAGCCGAAGGTAGGAGAGATGTGTTCACGCCTCTTTTTTTAACTTTCCTCCCGAATCTGACCGACACCTCATTGGTAGCATATAGCAGAACATTGAGAACTCACGCTTCGCGTCATCGCGCCTTCAATTTTTCAGATGCAGCACGGACGTCCATCAAGTACGAATAGTTGTATCTCTGCGCCGTCGTTAACGCGCATCCTTCCCCTTCCTCTATTTCCATGTTGTGTTTGTCTTATTTGTAATGTTGCTTTAAACTAGAGCAGAGCATTGCGAGTTCGCGACTCACGCCATCGCGTTTTACAGTTTTCAGATGCAATGTGGACATCCATCTTGCGAGAATGGTTGTTATAAACGTTGTTAATGTTATAATAGTTGTTAAATATGTTTAAAGGTCTCTCAAGAAGTCTATAAAGTATGCGTATGTCTAAAAAATTGAACCGGCTATCGCTTTTACGAGAGTTACACATAGAGAATGAAGGAGGGGGATGATAAAGCGCCTGTATGTCAAGAAAAAGGTGACCATTTCACAGAAAAATGTTTACGCTTCAGAAAGTAGTCCTTGGACCTCTGTTCACCACTATGCATAAAAGCACCTCTCTTCACTCCTAACTCTCTTTTCTTCCGTCCATTTAAGAAATTTTCCGCATATATTCTCGGTCGTAATTTTTTTTTCTCTTCTTATTTTGCTATCTGTCAGAGGGGCGCGTTTTTGGCGCGCCAAGGGGGCATATCTGCCAATGGCAGATTGGCCTTATGGCCGGTCCGAGCCTGAGTTTAAGGACTAACTCCGGGTGAATGCTGAACGAATTCATTGATCTGACTTCATCCCAGAAACTTTCATTTTGGACATTTAATCCATTATTCCTAGAATCATTTTTGAATCTTATACGCGAGTGGATAAAGTATTTAGGAGTGAACTATATTATGCATTGAGGAACTAATTTTATAGGTTTTTAATTTTCTCATACTGTCAGATAGGTGCTGCAGCTTCTTCTTTTTCTCCCTTTTATTTCACGTTCCTCTTTTCCCCTCCTTCTTCCTTTCTTTGCTTTCCTCTTCTTCTTTTTCTATTTTTCCTCTTTTTATTCTACTCCCTCTTGATTGCACTAGTTTTCTCACATCTTTCTTTCCTCCATATTTTTTCGCCTCCTCTTATTTTCTCTTTTCTTCCCTGGTAGCAAGGGCTGTAAAAAATCTCTCAAAAAACTTAAAATTTTAATTAAAAAACTCTTAATAAAACCCGAAGAAGGAAAAAGGTAAACGAAGGTTCTTTAAACGAAGAAGGAAACCCTTTTTGGAATTTTTTTAACGTAAAATTTACAAGAGTAGTACACGTGTACGAGTTGTTTTACAAAAAGCTCTTTAAAAAATGCTTATAATAATGCATTTGGCTTTTTACCACTTTTTTAAGTAAATTTTACTTTAAAAAGTTGTTTTGAAAAATCACGTTTTAGAAAGGGTTTTTTAAACATTTTGTAACTTAAATTTTCCCTCCCGTAAAATTTACGAAAAAGTATTCTTCCTCGTAAATTTTAACAGTTTTTAAAGAGTTTTTTAAAAGCAAATCTTAACGGACGTTGCTGAAATGGGTTCATCGAACTTTTTTCCTTTTTTTTTGCTTCCCTCCCTCCTCTTATCTTTCTTCCTCCTCCTCTATTTATAATTTCGTGCCTTCTACTTCCTCTGTCAGATCTTTACCCCCTTCTCCTGCGTCCTCCTGTTTCTCTCCTCCTATTCCTTTTTGATGTCCCCCACACAAGACAAGCACTTTTACTTAAGGATGAGCCAGGAATATAGTAATAACTCCTTACTGCAAAAAAGTCGTCCAAATGTAAGTACAAATAGCTTAATGGGAGAAAAAATGAATCGTTGGCTGATAGAAAGATATGAGATGAGGTGGACGTAACTAAAGCATCATCAGTGGGCTTGGAAGCCCAGCCGAAAGTAGCACGCTCCTAGTTTCGAATCAACAGGTGGAATTCAAATAGCCCGCTTCTGTTGAAGGCTGCTTCTTCCTATTTAGAGTAGAGAGCGTCACCGTAGCTTTCCTTGTGAAACTGCTCAGCCAATGACAACAAGGCAGTTCTCAGTTCTCCGCGAGTTTCTCTGTCGGTGTGGTGTCAAGGAGACTGTGATGTGATTGTTTATTTTTAGTTTCTTTAAATGAATAATTAACTTCCCCTGTAATTTTATTTTGCTTTATAACTTTACACCGTACTATCATTCCTAGTTTTAAATATTAGAATAATTTCTCCCTCTGTTACAATAATCAGTGGGGTTGTCAAATGCTCTGTGCTGAGCTCACTTTCCTTTTTGTCCTGTGTTGATGAATCCAGGTAGATTCCGTGTTCTTCCGTGTGTTGCCAGGATTTACTTCTAAAAATACAGGTGAGTTTTACTTTGAACTTTTCATAAATTAGTTTTTATCTGAACTCTTAGGTATTTAACGTGAGTCAACTTTGTTATGATTCATAGTGCTTACATTCAATATCAGCTCATATATTTACACCTGCTAGAACAGGTATGTAACCTTTCTTTCACACCTGTAGGTGAAGGTTGTTTATTTCCTCACAGAGGATTTTGTGAAAACAAACTTGGGATTATACACTTGAGGAAATTCTGTGTTAAGAAGTAACTCCCTATTCAGAAACTTACAATTGATAGTCATTTCTGGTGTGATACTTGTAATTAATTGCAGGTGACCAAATACTTAATTACCTCGCTGGCTGTAAGGCTCACAAACCACAAGGTTTGCTCCTACAGGGAGTCTGGATTTTTCTTTCAGGAGGTCAATGTTTTCAAAGAGCTAATCTAACGTTTTGGATTTCATTTTTTCTTTCAATGTATCATATAGTCAAAACTGAAATAGTGATATGTTGGGTTTTTCACAATGTTGTTTTGGTACTTAATCATGTTCAGTACCTACTATGCTCAAGCCTTGGTCATTACAATTTTAATCAAATTTACTGATTTTCATTTGCTTGAGCAAGAGTTAAAAAAGATAGCCCTTACTATGTTTGCGCCAGGCGTTAATTTTGGATTAATATCATGGTGAGCAATGAATGTCCACATGAGCAATTACTTAATTATCTAGGAATTCTAAGCTTCACTATTGTTTCCTAACAAAAATTATTCAGATTTTAATAAGGCACCTCCATGGAAGTTAGAAGGGAAGACTGCAGTGTGCGACGGACTATCATGAAAAAAAAATGCTCAAAGCAGTCATAGTTATGAAATGAAAGAATTGAGCATCTGCATAAACCAGAGATATATTCTTCTCATTGATATATCTGTTAATGACACGTAATTTTGTGCCCAAAACACCTTAATTTACTGAGGTAGTTTAATGCCAGTAAATGCAAAGAAAATGAACAATTACGAGGGAGGCTCCATAAAAAACGGGGGTCTTCCTATAACTTGGTCAGGGGTTTTAAGTAATTTCCAAGTTATATCGCTAGAAAGTGTTATTTGGAAGTACGAAGAATCGCAGGGCTGAATGGCAATGTTGTAGAATGTTCTGTTTTGTTTTGGCAAGCCTTTGCATAAGAGGTGTTCCGCTAGCTCGTCATTTTTAAAATAGGTGATTTTCACAGGCAACACACTTCTAACTCGATTAACCATTTATATAAATCTTCCAGAGAACTTGCTTTAAATACCAATAGGTAACTTAAGTGGACAGATTTTGACATCAGATGTTGCCTCATTTCCTGTATCGCCTAGGAATATGTTTTCTTGAATTTTTCAAAAAAATGGGCTAAAATTGCGTATAAAATTCTCCAATTTTTGAAAATATAAGAGGTAACAAATCTCCACGAATGTTTTTTAATATCGGAAGAAATTTGGCAACGCTCGAGTGTTAACACGACGTTTTTTCCTGAACGCTTCCGTACTGATAACTGAGCATGGGGCGATGATATCGCTAATGACGCCTTGATACAACTATTCGTGCTTTATGGACATCCGTGTTGCGTACCAAAAATTGAAGGCGCTCCGGTCATTCTAGCCTATGAAGCAGTGCTCACAGCTACCCGCTGTTGCACGACTTACTGTGGTGCTGGAACATAATAATATCCTAATAAGTATGTAAAAATGGAGCGAAAATATCTTTTCCTGTCCTCCAGTGTTAATTTTTATCAGAGAATTTCACTTTGCCACTTATTGCCGCGCAACACGCTGCTGCGTATACTGCGACTCCATCCTGGAGTACAGTCCGGAGCGCCTTCAATTTTTTCATATGCAACTTGCATGTCCGTAAAGTACGAATAGTTGTATCTTATTATCAACATTACTAAATGCAATGCATTTTGTCGCATATGCTTGGTTGATTCGCGCGCTAATGCTAGTCAAGTTATCTTTTCAACGGGTGCATTATTCTTGTACCTCCGAGGTGGTTGTATAGGAGAACCCCGAAAATTCGTGACAAGTGCTTGTGGTTAACGAGAGAGTTCCGGAACAACATTGGGTCACATTTTATTATTTCGTCAAGCCAACTACCGAGCCCGAGCGCAACGATCCCGTTGCCAGGCAACGTCAGTATTTAATTCGTCAACAAGTCGTAAAAAAAATGTGCCGCCCGTGTTTAGCGTGGAGAGAGAAATAAATAATACGCGGCCTCCGCTCAGCAATGCATTTTGGCAACCCCCTCTGTAGGGTTCTTAACCTCTCTCTCCACAACCCCGGGACTGGGTCGTTAGTACATCGAGACATTGAACTTATGGAAATCGAAGAGAAGAATCCAGAACCTGAACTTACCTGTAGCTCAGATTGCAACGACGCAAACTTCCTGTCAGACTTTCTTTCATTACAGGGATTTTCAGGGGTTTGAACAATCGAATGCAACATTGTATGTTCGCGCACGTTCAGCTTTATTTGAAGGTTTTCCAAATTATCTTTTCAGGAAAGAAAGGCGTAATGGATCGGTTCTCTGTCACAAATTTAAAGTTGAACCAATAATTTACCAACATTGTTTGATATCTTAATGTGTGCTTACACACCCACCGTAGAATCACCTGTAAGTGAATGCAGGGTTTGTTTGTCTGAGCTATCATTATTGACCTCTTGAATAATCGAATCGTTAGAAAAATAGGGAAGCTTTCATCGATCAGATAAAATAAACGTAAAAAACGCTTTTGCATTAAAAAATTCTGACGGATGCGGAAGAATCGGCTGAAAGTTGAAAAAAATCTACCCATATCTGGAACTCTGGTGAAAGAGAAAAATTTCCTCCAAAAAAATCCTGGGAAAGTTGGGAAAAACGTCGGTTCCTCATCAGCACTGGGAAAAAAAACACATTGGATATAGAGTCCAGACTCTTAAAAACATCGACAAGAAAAAATAGGTACTCTTGATTCAATCGGATTTTTGCTTAAATCAAGAACCAAACCCTTCTAATTTGAGGGGATTATCCTTTTGAGTTAAGCAAAAATCTGATTGAATCAAGAGTATTTTTTCTTGTCAATGTTTTCATGAGTTTGGACTATAGATCCAATGTGTTTTTTTTTTTTTTTCAGTGAGGGCTTTTGAGCTCCTGAAAATCAGGGAAAATCAGGGAATGAACATGGTCAAGAATTTTATGAAATAAACCGTGTGCGGAAAAAAACTATGATATGCGAACGTTGGGTCGGGGGCAATTCCTGAAATACGAGGGCAATTTTTTCAATATCCCAATGTTTGTTTACTTCCGGTGTAGATTAGCGTGAAGCACTATGCATTGGGTAGGCGGGAGCGGTGAAAGCTGTCCCGAATTTTTAGGCGATGACAAGATGGCTGGCTCGGGGACCAAGTCGGCTGAGCGGGAGTGCCGCGACTATAGCCATGTGATGTGACCCAATTTTGAGTTGGTGCTCTTGCTCAGCTGCCATCGCCCGAGTTTTCACCTATACCCCGCGTGCCGCCTTGCGCGTCGCGTCCGCCAGCAGAGTCGCACGCTCAATCTCTCGTCCTCAAGCAAAACATCGTAGGAGCCTCCAAACGTTGCCATATTCCCTTCAACAAAAAACGAATTCACCGGGAAATTTTGAATATTTTTCTTTCGATTTTTCAGATAGTTTTCCTCGCAATTTCATCTCAAACATCTGAAAATTTCAAGGAAAAATGGATCGCATTTTGCAAAAAGGAACCACTAGCATTGCAATGTTGCTAAGATTGTGCGACTTCTTTTCTCTTGGAGGAAAAACTCGATTATCCATTAATAGTTTCTATTTTACTCGCTAAAAACTGTAAATTTAAGACAAAAATCACCATCTAAATTCCATAGTTTTTCACGATTTCCGCAATTTCATTGCAAAAGATGAAGTTGCACAATCTTAGCATCATTGCAATGCTAGTGGTTCATTTTTGCAAAATGCAATCCAAATGTGCGTACAATTTCTGAAAAATCGATGTTTTATCCGGGGAAATTTGGCAACCCTCGAATGTTCATACGGCGTTTTTACTTCAGCGCGCTCAATACGCTCCGCTCACGCTTCAGAACCGTAACTGCTCTGGAGCCTGTGCTTTCACGACTTTAAGATCTCCTCTCCCGGCAGTCGAGTCTCGCCGTGGTATTTTCTCCAAAGCCCGTCCAACATTGCACGTGCATGATGCCGTCGAAGCTTCTCTCGCAACTTTAATTCGCCATTTCCCTCCTCTCGTCCACGTATGGTGTGAAGCAATGAGACCGCACTGTCGGCACGGTTCATGTTCATCGCGAGTTGAGAGGAAACCTAGGTTCTGCTACTCAGGACAACATTTCAGGGATGCGGAAAGTTCTCCAACCTACGCAGTTTCGTTCGAGCAACTAGAACTGGGGAAAGAAAGGAATGGAGAAATGTCACATCCAAAAATTGCACAATTTAACAGATATTTATGCTAACCAATGGGCCAACTGATGATTGATGCATTCAGACTGATGTGACTTTGGTCTATTCTTTTCTTACCCCAGTTCTTGCGACTCAGCCTTCCCACTATGAAAATTGAGTGTTTGCGCAGTTATTATCACTTAATTACAGCGCGTTCGTAGTAATTTTCTACAAATGCGTAGCTTTCACAGTAAATTTTAAAAATGTATGCTGTCGCAGTGATTCTATCGAAAATTCACCATTAAGCAGTAATTTCCGTAAAAATTAAACTTCTACGCAGAATATCTCAAGAATTCAACGCTTTTGAACTAATTTTTCAAATATTTTTAAATCATTGCCGAACGCACTAATTTTTACGAACTATCAACGTCCTTGTCTTAGACTTGCGTTAAAATCAGTGCGTTGAGAGTTCACTCTTCTTTAGAATGAAACCGAATTTTTGATTCGTGTACCTGAACTTCTTTTATCAGTTCTTTTAACCTGAAAAGTTCGGTTATACGAATTTAAAGTTCTGTTAAACGAAAAAAAACTGGGTTTGGCGAACTGAAC